CGTCCGATCACTGAAGTCAAGCAACGCTGGGCATGGTCAGTACTTGGATGGGTGACCGCCTGGGAACACCANGTGCTGTTGGCACAACTTTTTGCCGATTTTTTTTCAATTGACATACTTTTTCATTATTTATTTTTGCAAATAAACGCTTATAAGCTGCTGCAAAAAAGTTTATGCATTGTTTTTTTAAATATAATCATGTGTGCTGAGTCTTATTTTTCTATCTATGATGTTGCTCCTGCTACACCGCGCGTTGACAGCATCAACCTCAACTGGATTGTTCCAAATCGCTCACGCTGCTGATACATCAGAAACCGCGATTGCCAACCGCTTGCTTGTTCCGTACCGTCCTCTCACGACGGTACCAGCAATCAAGAGGCGAGGCAAACCCAATCCGGAGACATGAATGCCCGTATCGCGTGTATAGCGTGTCGGACGAAGAGGGAACGGCGACTACGGCCACCACTATCCCCACCAGAAAGCCGAACACCTGAGCGTCTCTGGGAGCAGCTCGACGGCCGCAGTCATTATTGCGCCAGTCTAACACCCGCCAGTCGATCTTCCTCATCCTAGCAAAATATACATTTCTTGACGCGATTTCCGAGACTTCATTGCGGTACCAACGTGCAAGATCAGAGAGACGCGCGTGCGAAAGAGAAACGGTCTCGTGACACGCCTCGTGGCCGCATCGCGAACGCGCTCGCTATCGCGTCACGGCCGGATACGATGAGACTCTTCTCGGGGAACGAGGAAAATGTGACGTGAGACACTGGCCTTCGGCAGGTCCTTCGGCGAGTGCGACACGCTCTGCGACGCAGTCAGTACGCGCGGGCGCGGGTCATCCTGCAAAATGACCGCTGCGATGAGGAGGAGGTTTCTGTCGACGGTGTGCTGCTGGCTCCTGGTGGCTCTCGGTGTCGGCCAGGTGAGTATTGCGGAACTGTTATGTCCCGTGAACCTCATGAATTCCAAGCCGTTTCAAACGCGCGAGTGAGCGCGCCGGAAACCTGCGTGCGTTTGCGTACGCAAATATATATATATATATATTGTCAAATCAAATCCGCGGGAAAACTCCGCGATATATCGAAGAACTACGAAAGCACGGATTCGAATAAAATTTTGTCTTGTATTTACTTTTGTAATACTTAAAAGAAATAACATGTCAAAAGCACGTATGTCATCTGCAAAACTGTAAAATGAAGTTCGCGTTATTGAAGTAATGACAGTTTCCTACGAAGTATGATTTATGATTTTCCGTGCGACAAAGTTTCTGAATCATCATTTCAAAGAAGTAATATACGAGTATTTCAGTATTCGTTTTACAAGTATACAAGAGAAGGATAACTACCACATATTTTATCTTATGATATAAGAGAGTAAATTAACATAGTATCAAAGAGCAATGAATAAGCATCACAAATGCGAATATAAGAGATGTGTGTGTGTGTGTGTGTGTGTGTGTAAAATGCAAATTTAATCATTCAAAAGGGAGCAATACCTTCGATGTGCAAATGCATTAATTAATCCAACAACTATAACGAAAGACCATTTGATTGTAATAAACGAAGACTGTCGATGATACAAAATATAGAAGCTCATTAAATGATCGAATGATACATTCTAAAAAAAAAAACAAAAACAAATTATTTGATGATTTGATAAGCTCGACTTGTTACTTATCTTCCTTTTATTTGCTCATCTTACTAATGTACGCATTATGCTCGATTCTTATGATAGACTGGGAGGGGGAGGAGGAGAAAATCATAAATACATAAATTATCGAACAAAAACCGACATTCTGCAACATCATGTCATGCCAACTCAAATTACATGCGACTGCAACTTATTTGCAGTGAGAAAATATGCAACATTAATTTATAAGTTTTGCGTGCAGAAGCGTATATTATTCATAAACTTCAAAGACACGTTGCCAGAGAAAAAAACAAAACTAGAAGACGTGTGTCTCTAAAAGGCACGTCTGTATGACAATGTTTGTCGCGTATTTTCTTTCTTAGCATAAATTATTACTTTGTGAGCAAACTTGCGCTTGTTCTCGCACAACTTCTCGTAAGAGAAAGATGCCTCTAAAATTCTCAGATTCCAGTGTTGAAACATTAACAAACTTATTTTGACACGTCTAAAATAACTGAAATGTAAAATAACAATATTGTAATAAACTTAGAATATTTTTGTGTTTAATGTATTTTTATTGAACGTGTTTAAAAAAGAGAAACAAGAGTTGTACGACCAAAATAACTGTTAGCAGACGCCACATTCTTCAACGGTTTCCATTGCGTGCGATTATATCACAAGCAAATCTCTATGTCTAGTGTGCATATTTTATACGGCTATACTATTTCTAACTTATTACGTACCAAACGACTACTAATTGCTTCCCGTGATCTTTATGCGCGAATGCTATATGTGCGCGCGCGCAGCTTGACCACATTACGGGACTAACCGAATAATACATATAATACGCTACTTCACGTGTTCAAGATATATATATATATATTTACTTTATATTATCTGATCTATCTCTTCTTCTGATTTATCTGCAATATTTCCCATTTTCTTTCTCGTATAAGTCGTCGGTCTTTCCGCATTTTCCGGAGACAAAGTCTTTCACAAATAAAAGCGGAAGGAAACAATTTCAAAACAGATGTATTTTCCTCAACTTTTCGAAATGCAAACTCTTACGTTTCTCGAGACGGCCGAATAAGCAGAAATACAAACTGGTTTCTCGATTCGATCGTCATGCAACAAAAATATCTCAGCGAAAAAAGTCGCGAGATAACGTGAAAGTACCTACTATTGCTCGAAAACGCGACAAAGTTCTGTTTGATTTTCTACTTTCTTAAAAATACAAATATAAATTCTTGGAGATACCAGTTTTTATTGTAGAGAGAACGATAATGTGTTATCTTTTCCTATTTTCTATCACTTCTCTTTTTGATATTTCTAGTTCTTGTATAACATCAATTATCTATAGAAAGTTTAACCAATTTTAAATATTCAAGAACGAAAGAGAGAAAAAAAGATAAAGATTAAATTGTGTATTACATAAAAAAAAAAAAAACAAATTACTTTACAAATTCTTCAATAAATTTTTAAAATACTTTTTTGTAGCATGCGATAACTTACATTTTCTTTTTATTTTGAAGTTAATTTTTTTCTGCCAAGTTAAAGAAGAGCATCTTCTTGCCACTCAACGATGCAGTACATTAAAAGGTTACTGCTCTCCGCGCCGATGTTCTTTCGCTCGGTCCGAAATGTATTGTGGGACGAAAAGTTCCGGACCCCGAGGTCCGTCTATTACGAGGAGGAATGCACTCTGGATGCACGGGCACGCGGTGCAAACGTGTGCGTGTGCAACCGTATGGCGAGAGCGAGCGTGTCTGTCTCAAAGCGCCGCGCGTTCAAAGCTTTTTAAATATTTAATCAAAAAATTTAATTAACGTGTGTGTCGTGGCTATCGCTGCACGAGCAGCATCTGCATTGTTTATCGCGCAGCTCCACTGATTATCATTTGTTAGCACTAACGTTGCAACGTTTAAAAAACTTCAATCTTCTCGTTCGAGACATTTAGCACATGACTATAAACATATTACTGCTTTTTTCTCACTCGAACGGTAATGAAAAAACAATCATAAGTTTTAATGCTACGCATTTATCTTCCGCTTGTTTTATTTAATCGATTTTTAGAATATTTTGAGACACTCCGAAGGGCAAGGATTGCTGAACTAACAAGTTGGTTTTGTGAAAAATAAACGAGCTTGACGCAAACGAATCTGAGACTGTTAATTGGTTGATTTCGCTTCGACAATTACATGTTTCATATTTTCTCGGCAGTTGCAGCTGATGTGCCAATTATGCTTTTTTATTGTTGTATAAGAGTAATAAACTTCAAAATACGTTTCTTCAATTTTCTCGTTTAAGCAAGATATTAGAATTTCACGACAACTCGAATAACACGGGAATAACGATTCGGTTTACCTTCTCTTTCCTAAGACAAATCCCACACTCTTTCGATTATTGTATCTACACAATAACAGTTTAGCCTACATTACAATCATTATCAATGTCTAAAAGTATTCATTACGCAGTTTACACCGACGGGAATGCAAAATAGTCTGCCGGAGCGGCGAGAATTTTAATTGCAAACATCGCGTACGGAGAAACACGCCCGCGAATTAATTGAGAATGCGTGTTTATATGCGCGAGCATCTGCGCGAAAATTTTCCCTTTCCGACGTGTTTCTCTTGGACAGTCGGAGACATCGCGTCGGGCTCCCGGATAATAGGAAGGCCTTATTGAACGCGCGCGGCCGGCCTTCCTCTGGTTTAGAGCCGCGCTTGTGCGTGTGCTACCGTATTAATATTTATGAGATTCCTTATGGGCAATGTACGGCGTGATAGTACGTCCTATATAACGCGACGTGAGAAAGTGATAAATTCGGCTTATTACATAACTGGTCACGCGTTACTTTTGCGACGACTTATATAAGTCACCACCACGCTGCGCGTCGGTGAAGAAACCGAGAAAGAAATATTCATCACGCCGACGAGCTCGTTCAATGGCGCATTATGCTTACTCATTATCCATGCACGCGCAATCGCCCTATCGATTGTGAGAGTCAAGCTGTGGGCAGGCAGAATTTGTGACAACCCATACACCGGACTTAATTGCGCATAACTGATGGAGTGGAAAAGACGTTGTTGTTCTATACATAAAAGTTATAACTAGCTTGTGTCATACAAATCCTGATTGCTTTTATATCGAGGTGGCGGTGAAATAAAGCTTGAAAGAAGTTGTCGGAAAATGTCTCTCTCGTGCAATTAATATACAAATGGTTTTTGATGTAGAATACATTTATATATATATATATGTGTATATATATATATGCGTGTGTGCGTGTGTATATACAATACGTATCTACTTGCGCGCGAGGCTTACGTTGTACAAGAACATTACTGGTTGTTATTCGAATCCGCATTGCAATTCCGTGTTGGCACCGGAGCGGTTGATCTTTGACATCGCGGGATTGCTACATTACGACGAGTTAGTTTAGTTTCTTTTTCATATCATGCGAGGGAGAGATATATAATCTCACGTTTGACGTGCACGAGCAACGTCGGATGATCTAGTCATAAACGCGGCGTTCCCTCAATGACGAACGTATCGTGAACGTTTTTTTTTCTCCTCAAGGTAGAATCAACCTAGATTATTTAATTTATGTGCTCACCTTGCCAGCGATTTCCCCATGCAACCTGTCGCGCGCGCGCGTGTGCGTGTGTGTCCCCGTGAGTATACGCGCCAATCGCGCGTAAAAAATTCTTCGCCGCGTCTCCCGCGCCGTGAATCGCACGCGAGAGAGACTTCCAGAGACGCGCGCGTCCGCGCTCATCCGTCTTCAATATATTTTACGAGATAATACTAAATCATCGGATGAAACGCGATTATTTCGAGAAACATTCTCCCTTACCCACCTCAGCGCGCTCATTCGTAAATTACTGTTATCCCGGTAGCCAATAAATCGCGGCTATAAATAGCCGGTGTTTGTTACTTACCTCGCGAGAATAGCAAGAAGATCATTTCTCTCTCGAGAGTTTTGCTTGTATACGCGCGAGCGTTTTTACACGCGAATACATGAACTAATAATTTCTGGCTCGTGTTTTCTATCGGTGGTGTAAGTACGAAAAAAAAAAAAAAAAACAAGAAAAGAAAAAACAACAAAAACAAAAATCGTCGACGGTGAAACAAGGTTAATACAGTGTCCACTCATCACGCCCGTTAACGCGTCACAATGTTACTCTCCAGGAGGTCTTAGAAGTCGTTTTGCAAATGCCGATTGACATGTTCGAACATACGCCGCGCGGCGCGGGTACTAAAACTACGTTTAGCCAACATTAACGTATCTCGTCC